AAACAATACATCCGATGAGATGAGAGAGAGAGAGAGAGAGAGAGAGCTGAAAGTGCACTTACCTACTGAACAATGCCTGGAAGTACCCATCAATGAATAGATTATTATTGGGAAAAATGATGAATATAGACAATAGACTGGTTTAACGTTGGCCAACAGGCTATAACCCATACCTACGTATTAAATTAAATATTAGCTAGGTTAATTATTAATTATAATGGTTATAATTGGTTGTTTCAATACTATTGTTAACGCATTTGCATGAATGGTACAGATCGGTGCCTAATATGATACATGTATACTGTAAAACATGGTATTGAGTAAATATCATGGTATAATTTCTATCACAATGCAAATACCACAACAATACATGTCGGTAGACATCTATCCCTACATTGTTTGTATTACATTAATGCTTATAATTGGATTTTTGATAACTTTTTTTCACTGTTTATACTATTAATAAATTTTCAAAAAATATTGTATAAATATTTACATAAAATTTTTGTCATTTTCAAAAAGAAATTTTTTACAAAATTTCTATACATTTAATCGCCGTATAATTAATGTAAATATTAGTCTCCGATTTGTATTATACTGTATATAAATAGTGTACAAAAAATCATGTTTTAAGTCAATAGAAATGCATTATAATAAAATTGTATTATTTATATAATATTGCGATTGTAAAAATTTAGATCCGGATAAATTTCACAATCAATGTCAATTTATATACCTCAAAATGTACTAACATTAAGTTTATTTATTTAAATATCTATTTATTTAATTTTTAATTAGATTAAAAATGTAAAATAATTACTACAATTTTTGGCAATAGTTGGGAAATACTGTGAAAATATTTTACTTATACTATGCAATAATTGTAACAAAAAACTACACATTATATAACAATGAAGTTTAGTCGGAAGTACTATATAGTGGCTAACATATCAGTACCCAAAAAAATAATCAATACTTCATATTGAAGTGTGATTCACAGTATTATTGCCACCGATTCTCAGTATTAAATATCATTAAACTTTTCCTTATTATACCCAATACTGTGAAGACATTTATTTTACAAATAAGACTTCTAACTATTAATTAGTTAATTATATATCCCATTAATTAATTATAATTAAAATATTCCAATATGCCAAACAATGTATATAATAGAGAAATTAAGCAAGAATAACAAATGATAGAATATAAAAATAAAACTTTTTGCTTTTACAATAATAAACACTTAATTAACTTAGATAATTAAAATTTTAAAAAAATAACCAAAACAACCAATCAGAAAATAATATTCATTTACACAACATGCAAAGAAAAAATATAATAACAACCAAGCTCAAAACAGCAAAAAAAACACATACTCTCTGGCACTTGAAACACGGCAATCGTGGCGCCGGACACCAAGTCCGGGATCAGGTCCTCTTTTTTATACTTGCTCAACCAGCCGATGGCCGGGAAAAGGCCCTTGATCACTTCCCAGGGGGAGCGGCACTCGGGCCGCACTTTTTCCAACACCTTCTCGGATGTCATACTCTTGGGTCGGGCGCCGGGTATTTGGGACGACCGGCGGAACCGGGCGTTAAAGTTGGGCAAACTATAGGCCATACGGTTTATGCTGAGGTGAGGGCTGGGCGGCACCTGACCATCGTTTACGGCCAGATAGTTGCTCCGATAGTTGGCATTATTATTGTTAATTGTATTAATATTATTATTATGGATGTTATTATGGTTGTTGTGATGTACGGTGCCGTTTGGGTTGCTATTGGTATAGCCGGCGATATTGTCTGGCACCTTGTCCAGGTCACGATCGTTGCTTCTGATCACCATGGTAAGTTTTTTGTTTTTAATTGTTTGTAAATATATTTAGTTAATGCTTATTATTATTATTAACAGAATATTCTTCAATAGTCAATAATGTGGTCAACACACAGAATATGATTTATTTACACACAAAATATGTCATTCATATACACTGTATGTCTCACTGTATATAATATTTCCTTTGATTGAAATATGATAATCACAATCGGCTTATATATCACACACGGAGTTATGACACTTTGCTGTATATTTACATATTATTTAATATGCAGGTATTTAATGTATGAATGGTTAACAACAGCCAGGTATGGGACCATTTAAAGTAGTTATATCATCAAGTTGTAATTGATAATGACTGCAAAAATAAGGTAATAACTTATATTAAATATATATTTAATTAACTTTTATATATATATTTCACGCACACAAAAGTTTAGAAGAATATTTTTCATCGTGGACAAAAAAATATATATTTATCATGACTATTTAAATCACTTTTTAAATTTACATTTATGTTTTAAAACTAGTTTCTTTCGCTTTCACTAACACTCAACACCTGAGTTGAAAGCAAACAAGTTTTTATGCTATAATGTATTTATTATTATGTATTTATCATATTGTGTGTACACTTTACATCACAATCGCATACAGGCACGAGTACACTGTGCAATAAAAACATCTATGTCTATTTAAGTAAACCCTTTACCATAATGCTTTTTTATTTTACACATGCGTTGCTTTGAGAAGAGACAGTAGATGAGAGAGAGAGAGAGAGAGAGAGAGAGAG